CCTCAAGTTTTGTTAGCATTGATCAGCTTTTAGGGTTTCATATTAACCCTACTGCAAGTCTATCTATACGGTACTGATTGGAATGTGCAACTGAAATGTTTTCTTTAAGGACTGATTAAAACCCTAATTCTGCCAAGCATATCAGACCTGCTTCTAAGCTGATTTTTCAGATCCTTTTGGGGTTTTCGAACTCTCTTAAGGGGTGAGAACTGTACGGACTGTTGCTGTTGTGTTTGCTAGTTGGTTTCAAATCAGATTTATATCTGTTTTGTGCACATACACTGTGAATACAGATTGGTCCTACACTGTTTTGATTGTGATTGGTAGTCCAAGTGCTGTTTTTTGAGACTTGACTGAGATGGAGTTTAAAAATCAGGCAGAAGGCAGTTTTGGGAACAATTATGGTAGTGTTTCTGAGACAGGTGGTCAGATTACAATCGTAAAGTTTGATGGATCAAACTATTTGGAATGGGCCCAATCAGCCGTGATGGCTATTGGGGGAAGAGGTAAATTAGGATACCTCTTGGGAGATGTGAAAGAACCCCCCAAGGGAGACCCTACGTATACCAAGTGGATCCAAGAAAACTACTTGGTTATGACATGGCTGTGTAATTCAATGCAACCTCATATTAGTCGAAATTACTTGTGGGCAAAGATAGCTAAGGAGATAATGGGATGTTATGAAAGAAACTTATCCCCAACCCCTTAATGTTGCCAGAGCATATGAATTGAAATGTGAAGTGAAAAACCTTAAACAATGAGAGAAACCGATTTCAGTATACTTCTCTACCTTGCAGTCTCTGTGGCGTGAGATTGATCACTTAGAGACTCTTGAGTGGGAGAGTCCCAAAGATGCACAAATATATAGAAAGCAGGTCGAGACAAATTGGGTGTTTGAGTTTTTGGCGGGCCTAAATTCAGAGTACGATATTGTGCAGCAACAGATTTTGACTAGAGACAGTGTGACTCTCTCTCAGGCATACTCCTTAGTACATAGTGAAGAGACCAGAAGGAAAGTTATGATGCAACCTCAGCCTCTCACACCAGCCTTTGTAGCTGTCAAACCCAAATAAAGGGGTGACTCAAAGAAGGACAGGAGGAAGGAAGACAAAAATGATGTGGTATGTGAACATTGTAAGAAACCCAAACATACAAAAGAAACATGTTGGAAACTGCATCCCCACTTGGTTCCAGCAAAGTTGAGAAGCAAGAAGGGCAATGCTCATGTGGTCATGAACACTGATTCAGCATCCTCATCTGGCACAAGAGGAACACCTTTAGAGACATTCGCTGCAGTTCGGGCTGCCCTAATACAGTTAGAAAAGGAAGTTGGAAATTCAGCTCAGCCACCGCAATCACCATCAGCCCCTGCCACATCTGCCTTCGCACATTCAGGTACTCGAGCTTCAGCCTACCATGCCTCAGCTCCAGGTACTACTGAACCTTGTTGGGTAATAGATTCAAGTGCATCCGACCACATGACTGGCTTGCCTTCACTGTTTACCACTTACCATTTGTCTTCTGGTAGGGATAAAGTATCTATTGCTGATGGCTCCCTGGTYCCTATTTCTGGRAARGGTGACATYAAGTTATCAGATACTATCTCCCTGTCATCTGTTTTGCACGTTCCTAAGCTTGATACTAATCTTCTTTCAGTCAGTAGTATTACCAAGCATATGAACTGCTCAACAACCTTCTTCCCTGACCGATGTGTTTTTCAGGACTTGGAGACGAAGGTGATTGGGACTGGTCGTGAGACGAATGGGATCTATCTGCTCGGGGAGAGGTCTCGTCAGGAAGAGTCAGTAGAGAAGATGTCATTTGTTTCTCAGAGTGTGAGTCCGGTTATGCCAAAGCATAACCGATTGGGTCATTTGTCCTTTCGGTCTCTAAAGAGTCTGTTTCCTGCTTTATTTGAGTCTATTGAGTTGTCTCAGTTGAAGTGTGAAAGTTGTGAGTTTGCTAAACATTGTAGAAAGTCTTATTCATTGAGTAATAAAAGGAGTAATAATTTTTTTGATAATGTGCATACTGATGTTTGGGGGCCCTATCACATCCCTTCCATGGGTGGGTACAGATATTTCTTGTTATTTGTTGATGACCATACCTGTTTTTCTTGGGTTTATCTCATGCGTTCACGA